TTCAAGAGGTAATCACCATTATGAATTTTTTTGTATCCATCCAGACATTTTCTATGCATATGCAAGAATATGTAATACATCATACAAATATCTATAGGTATTTTGGCCCGTATGTGTATCTTACTTCCTTTTACAATAGGAATAAGATGACTGTATTTTTAGCTGCACCATATATCTTTCCTAGTCTCCTATTACTGCACATTTAGGCTTTTCTGCATTTTTTTCACTATTTCAATATCATCTAGTATGTTTTCCTTTTTTATCATATCTGGGATTCTTTAGTTATAATAAAGACATTTATTCCATTTTCATTTGTTGTCATGAAAGATAAATGTGGTCATCTGATTTTATGTTACTTTTTTGCTGCTTCTGCTTTCTATCTTTTTTAAACTTATTTATTTGAGAGAAAGAGAGATAGAGTAGGGTAAGGGGCAAAGGGAGAGTGAGAGAGAGAATCCCAAGCAGACTCCCCACTGAGCATGGAGCCTGACACAGGGCTCGATCTCACAACCCTGAGATCATGACCTGAACCAAAATCCAGCTTAACCAACCAAAATCCAGCCACCCAGGCACCCCCTGTTTTCTATTTTCTATATGGTTGGAGTTTTATTTCATACATTTCTCTTCTGATAATTTGTTGTTTTAGTAACTTTTTGTAGTAATATTTAACATAATGTACCCTCTCTTTCCTGATTTATCAATTTTCAACAGTCACTACCGATGCCTGCTCTAAAAAGTGAGGAAATGAGTACAACTGAATATAAACGCTTTTCCCTACACATCCTTATTGGTTTCTGATTTTCACTAATGATTATTTTTTTTATATTGTCAGAGTTTATCATACTTATATTTTTCCATAATTATGTTGCTACAAATGTTTAACCTTTAACCCAAGGTTAGGGTACCTCTCACCTTCACACCAGTCATTCCATAGCCTTATCAAGTTGAATTCTTCATTTTGATTCCATTTTGGTCGACTACTTTTAATTGTTAAGTAGTTTTTTGCAGTAGGTCAATGAGCTCTCTTCCCTTGAAATGTTTGAGAATGTTCTCCTTTGGGCTTTATTTATGTTTGAGGCTAGCCTGAATTTGCCTGAATTTTTAGATGACTTGATTTTTCTCCTTCTCAAAACAATACTTATGCATACTGTGTGCAATAACCCCTAATATTTTTCTCCTTTATTGTATTCAATTTGTCAAACACTTGTTATGAACCATTAAGTTAATTTCATGTTATATAGTGTTTAAAAATTTTTTTTAAAAATCTGTGCTAGAGGACATGGAGGATGTAGGGATCTAGGATCACCAGCAACTTGAATTCCATATGTTCTTTCAAAATATCTTCTTGCCACATCTGCTGGGTGCACACCCCGGGGGCTTGTTTTCCATGGTTTTCCATTTTGGGAGAGCAGATCAAGCTGAAAGAGATCAGCTTGCTTAGTGAAGTCTTAGATTATTGGTTTTATTTTGAAGAGTTTGTGTTTGTTTTTCTCTGCTCGGCTAATTCTGCCTTTCAGCTACAAAATAGGTTGGAGCTTCTTTTCTCTTGTCTCCTTTTACTCCCTGAAGTTTCTTCAGCGTAGGAAGAGATATATTTCTCAGAGGAAAGAGCTCTTTTCTAGCTCCATTCCTCCTCCAGTCTTAAGTTGGAAACTCACAAGGATTTACCCCACAATTCCAAAGGATCCTAAATTTGCCTTCAAACTATGGTTTTCTAAGTAGAAGTTCATTTTCTGTAATCTTGATCTTACTTTCAGTGAAATGTATACGCTGCTAGAGACATAGGCATGTATCAACTCTTGATGAACTCTCCCTTTTGAGTTGAGCCCAAATTTCATTGCATGGTGTAAGATTTATGGCCATTTTCTAATTCAATTGGAGATTTAATTTTGTCTTCCCAACTTTTCAACTGTTTGCACATTTAGGGTTTGAGGGAGGGAATAGAGGAGCCATACTCTTACTCCATCATTTACTATAATCTCTTGTTAGAGATTCTTGATCTGACGGAGATATGATATAAGATTATTCAACAGCCTTTTAAGGTATAGATTAAAGTGGCACAAGGTGACATACCAAAAAGTGTTAGAATCATCTAGGCCAGCATAGTCCGATAGTACTTTCTGCAATGATGGAATTAATCTATATCTGCATTGTCTGACACACTAGTCATGAGTCATGTGTGGCTATTGAGCATTTGAAATGCAATTTGTGACACTGAGAAGCTGAACTTTACATTTTATTTAACTGTAGTTATTCTAATTTAAATGTATACAACATCTCGTGGCTAGTGGCCACCATATTGGACAATGCACAACTAGGTAATATAAAGCCTGAATACCAGAGTTTGTCTAAAGAAATGGAAATAAAAGAGGATATCCAAGAGTTATAATGGTACAAATGAAACAATGTCTTTGTAAGAAAGAGAGAAGAAATAAAAACAATTCAAAAGCACTGTGGCAGGGAGAATGGGGAACCTGGTGGTACTGTCCAATAAAAAAGATGTATTATCAAGAGCTATTTTGAAAAATAGATATTTTTACAGGTTGAGTTCCCAGTGATAAGAAGACCTCAAAGTGGAAAGGACTCTAAACAATTAGATCACACTGAATTGAGGCAGAGAGGTCAGAGCTACAAAAAACAAAAAAATCTATTTCCTTGACATTTCTCTCCGGAGAAAGTTTCTTCTGCCTCCATACACCCCTTTTCAGATTGCCTTGTCCTCCCCCACACGGAGAGACCCTGATATATGGCATAATAATGACTGTTCAGAGAAATTACTATTTCACCTACCGAGTGATTAATATGAAATTAGTTACTGAAATACTCAGTGGTGCAGAGAGGATCAAGGAGAAATTTAGTTTTGTTTTTGCAAGAAAAAAATACAAGATAAAATACCGCTCTGCATCTACGGAGTACATTTCATCTGAGAATCTTTACATACCCAGCAAGCCTAATTAATGAGAAAACCTCTAAGACAGAGAGGTGATGAGATAAGGAGCACAGAAACTGGTGTTCTATTTCTTTGACTTTTAAAAACCAGGCTTGGTGTTTTCTTCTTTCATTAATGCACAAGTGTAGCTTTATGCAGCAGCCACGAGATGTTCATCTTTCTGTTGAATGGTTTCTCATGAAGGCATCGCACGGAGGAGGCACAGTAACCACACAGAAATCCCACCCCCTGACTTTATTGATGTCCTGCGTTCTCTTTGCAGTGGAAATCCATTCCTATCATCGTAGTGCAGCGAGCGTTCTCTGATAATCCAGTCTGCACTGTCCCTGAAAGGACTGTTTTGTTGCAGAAGAGAACAAGTTATCTTCTTTACAGAAAATTATTCAAAACAAACATCCGTGAATCTAGGACTAACGTGCACTGAAAGGGGACAGGCAGGGCTTCTTGACAGGTACCCTACCGTGTAATCTTCCTTTCATCTTCATTCAGAATCCCTTGGAGAGTCAATCTCCTCTTTATAAAAATATAAATTCTTCTAATTACTTATGTGTAGGGTACATGATTTGACTTAGTCAAAGAGGTATGCAGTAATGTATCCTGGCATTTATTTTCATCTGTTGTGACTTGGGGTTAGATGCTGGATTTTTGTCCTGTGTCGTCTTCATGTTTTCTTTTTCCCCTTCCCTTCTCTCCCCTTAAAAAACAAACAAACAAACAAAAAAAAACCATTCTGCCAAAAGAGAAAATACCTTGAAAGATGAAGAGGATGGCTTTTAAAGATTTTTACAAAGAATTTGATGTTCTGTAAAATAAAGCTAGCTGCCCTGCGCAAAAACGGCTGTTTTTGCTTAAAGAAGAGAAGGTACCGAGTGAGTTCAATTTTTGTTTTTTTAATTCATCCAGGGTCTCTATAAATGTGTCTAGGCTGGTACAGACCTTTCACTTCTAGCCCACAGCCCTCTTGTATTCTCAGAGCCCAGGATTCTAGCTTGTCCCTATCCTCTCCTGAGTTCTTCCTCTGGCTGCCTGAATCAGCAGCACCTGGCTTCTCTCACAGTGCGTGCATAATGCACCCTCTTTGCCCAGTGATGTAAGGTTACTTTCTTTTCCTCATTAGCACAGAACACCTCCTGACACCATCACATACCATTGTCCAATGAGATGCCACAGTGACCTTTCCATTTTAACACGTAACTGAGAATTTAGGAGAGCTGATCTAACACTTTCCAGATTAAATGTCAAATTCTTAAAATTCAGATGGATTTGGAATCCACCTAGGTGCATTTTGCTGCTCCCATTCCCAGCAGTCTACACAGTACACTGATTAGCAGTAGCATTTTGTAATATCACTTAAGGCTCGCGCGCCGTGGAGTTCTGCCAGTAATGTTTAATTCACTTATATGTGCCAATTCATCTCTGTCAGGAGCCTATTAATTTCTTCACTATTTTACTCTGTCCCCAGCCCCTATATAATGAGACACAATGATCCCCATTTGTGTAACCAAAAAACTTCGAGTCTCTTATAAATTACCTCGGATCCCACTGCTTTCAGTGACCAGAAAGCCTCTGTATTTCTTTTTCATATTTAAATCAATTTTTGCAAGCTCTTTCCTTTAAAAGAATACACTAGAACTCTAGGGTACCAAATAGGGATATCATAGCAAAAGTATGTGATTCTGATGGGCTCTTTAACATGCATCCCTCTCCCAAGGAAGACTTCCATATTATCACAGCACCAATGTACTGTTCCCATGGGGCACATCCCTTTGTAAGAAGGGAACGTTAATGAAAATCAGCCTCTGACTCTGCAGTCAGCACAGTCATCGGTGGGCAAGGTGTCAAAATATCTATTCCATTGCTATAAAAGTCAAGACCCCATAACAAATAAAGATCAGAGATATAAAATTAACCACATGGATATTGGGTTAACAGAAGAGTAACAGCTAAGTGACTGACCAGGAGAAATCAACATAGATTCAGGAGAGCCTGTCACTGTATTTCCACATAAAATTCACATATGTCTCTGCTCCCTGTTCTATATTTTTTTCAGGATTGTAGCAAAACACCAGGAGCTAAGGGAAAAGCAGGCAAGAGGTCTTATTGATTATGCTGCTGGTGCAACTGGATCGCTGCATGATATGGACGATGATGAAATGGATCCCAACTACGCCAGAGTGAACCACTTCCGGGAACCGTGTGCATCAAGTGTCTACAGGTCACCATCTCCGCCTCGGGCTGGACCACTGGGTTACCACCGGGAGAGCCGTCCGCTGTCTCCAGAGAGAGACCACTTAGAGGGTCTCTATGCCAAGGTCAACAAACCATATCACCCACTGGTGCCAGCTGAAAGGTAATATAGCTTATTAAAAGACAAATAATGGTTTTAATTCAGTAAGTTTCAAGTCATGTCTCCTGCTAAAGCTGATAAAAATACATCCTTACATCTATTAAAACTGAAATGAGATAGTCCTTTTGGTGAGAGATGGACTTTGACCCACCAGTAAGGTATTAGCCATCAAAAATAAAATGAAATAGCCAGTCATAAGTTGGCATGAATGAATGGTCGTCACTGAGGTCATGGTGCAACAGAGAACAGTTTGAAAGGATATTGTGGCAAAGGACTAATGATGAAAACTTTGAAGGAATATTGTCCTTTCTCCTACAAGTCCTACTGTGAAAGACTTATTCGAGAAAATGTCATGACACTGGGAGGTGAGGAGTCAGAGAATGGTGGCTTCTTTGTAGGTATAATGGAGTTGGAATTAGAGTGAGTGTAGAGGTGCGGAGGACCTTGAACAGCAAGGTTGGGATTTTGCGCTTAAGGAAAATGTGGTCCTGTATAGATGTTCATGGATGATCAGAGGTAGAAAAAGAGATAATCTTGGCAATAGGAGTTTGATGAAGTAGAGAAAGATAAGAGGTGACAAGGCCAAGGATCTTTAGGCTTAGCAGCTAAGGAAAAAGATAATAAGACCATCTGTCAGTACAATCAAAGTAGGTAGGGAACAAAATAATTTCAACTCCACCTCCTGCCACAAATAAAATGCCTCATCTCTTGAAAGGCTGATATAAGAGCGTTTTAGTCAATATACCTTGTTAGGTGACCCCTGGAATTAAACACGCAAGGAATGAGTTGACTGACCTTGGCTTAATCTGGCCGTAGCTTGAATTCTGAAGGGAGGAGTTGAGGGGGAGGGGTGGCAGGCACAAAGAGCTCTCATTCTAGATGAAAAAAAGACTTGTTTTCCAGATTTCTTTTGGTCCTGACAACTACCCAGTCCCTATTAGTAACCAGCTTTTGTGCAATAGCATGATATATTGCATATGTTTACCGTTTACATTTCCCCAGCTGGGTGATATTATGCACTTTCAATTAGATTGGGGAGAGGAAGGGAAATCATGGCATTTTTATGCAGACTGTAAAGTGTAGCTTCACAAGACTGATTACCTTTCAGAGCCTTTCCAATAACCAAGTAGGAAGGAAGGAGCAATTTTTAATCCTTACTGTCAAGCTTCCAGGTTGATAGTATTAAAGAAAGATGGTCAAGTTTTTCTTTGGGATAAAATGAAAGTATAAATTCCTATGACTGTGTGAGACAGCCCCAATAACTAAACTGTTAATTCAAACAACTGATTAAGAGTTGGCCTTTTCTTCTAAGCCTTCATCTTGGGTTGACTTTTTATCATGGAAATGACAATACCACTCATGAGTATCTTCTGGCCCAGACCAAAGCCAATCTTATTTTCCCTAAATCAGACAGGTCTTCATAGCAGTCCCCTTTGTACGTGCCCCCTGCTAGAATCCCAGCAGAGAGGGACTGTCTCTAGGAACCTCCAAAGCCAGTATTTCCCTGTACTAATTCCATGGACATAAACACAAAGCATTCTATTAAAAAAAAGTTCACTGGCCAAATGCATATGGAGAATTCTGGGTTATGCCCCACGGAGCAGGTTTTCTAACTGCAGTCTTCATATCCCCAGTATGCTAACATGCACTGTAAGCCTGTAAAAGGAGCATACAATAATCAGCACTATCACTTTTCAAATTTTTATCACCTAACCCTTATTTTGTTTTTCCAGATCCTATGGTTATTCTTTGGAACGTGAGGAAACTCTATCCTAAGTTAATTTTTACCCATGTAGATTTGCCCAGTATAGAAATTTCTTAGGATAATGTTAACTGTAGCCAGTGTATAATGAGATTAAAAAAAAAAAAAAGTTATTTACTTCCCAGTCTAGATAGATAGATAAGTGGTAGTCTTTCCTTTGACTCTGACCCCATTGTATTAATAAATGATCTAAAGCTCTGTCTTCAGTGGAGTTTTAGTCACTTGTCACATTTTTGGATAATAGATCAAAGTGTATGACTCTTTATGCCAGAATTATCTTTATTCTCTTCTTCTCTTTCATTATATTTGAAGAGCATTCAGCCCCTTGTTCTTTAAGTCATAAAATGAGCAGTTTTTGTCTTGGCATACAATAAGCACTCGATCATCATTATTGTTATTATTACTGTCCTTTATCGTGAAATTCTCAACTTTTCTGGTATGCCTGGGAACCAGGTGAGTCTAAGAGGAGTGTTGCTTTGGGCATACCTCACACAGTGCATATAAGCTGGAACCATGAGTACCAAACCTACCTTGTGTACAATTTGAGGCATGTCATTCATTTTGTCATCTCTTTGGCCTTTCACTCAGCAAACACCATCCAGAAAGCCTTCTTATATTATCATTTGACATCTACTGTGTTCTAGCTACTGTAGTAAGTTCTAGGGAAGATCCAAAGATGATTAGAAAGTGGCCCTAGTCCAGAAAAAGTTGTATTCTAGTTAGAAGGGGGATCAACACATAAGGAAACAGATCATTGCAATATAATGTAAACAGAAGAAAAAGAAGCTTTTCTAACTGTGCTGGTTGGGAAGGATCTTCAAAAGGAAGCAACATTTGGACTGGCTCTAGAGGGATTAGTAAATATTGACCAGATCTGGCAGAAAAAATGTTTTCCTTACAGAATACATAGCATATATAAGGGTGAAGTGGGCTGGAAGATCATGGCATGTTGGGAAAGCTCTGAAGCATCCAGGAAATGGAGTATGGAAGGGGAAAGAAAGTGATAGGGATAGGAAATGTATCTGGAAAGCAGGTTAAAGTCATATTATAAATGAAGAGATTCCATCTTATGTCCACATACTTTGATTGATAGTAGCTGTATGGAAATCAGGGCTAAGAAGGGTTCTGAAGTTCGGCTCCAATCATGGTATCTACCCTGGGCTCCAGGGATGAATGTAAGATGGGTACAATCAGTATTTATGTATATATTGGCTAATCCCATGACACTGGGAGCCATCAAAGTGTCATAATTAGGGAATGAGCTGATAGTTTTGTATTTGGGAAAAACAGCTCTGCCAGTTTGAAGGCAGACAAAGAAGAAGATGGTTACACTATTGGACAAATTAAGATATGATTACAATATTGAAAGATGGGAAGGGTCTGGAATAAGAGAGTGGCATTGGATGAAGGAAAAGAATAAGAAGTAGCCAAGAGTTTTAGCTTAAAACTGAGAGAAAGATGTGTAGCAGAGACCACAGAGGTGAGGCTTTCAAATACTTCAGGGAGGTCAATGGAAAGGGAACTAAAAAGAGGATTTAAGATATAACCACTAAGAGCTCTTCAGTTAATTTAGAAAGAAAAATTGCAGTAGCTAGATAGGAGCAGAGGGAAATTGCAATGTGAAGAGAATTGGTAAAGTGATAAGAACTTAGCAAGCTTGGCGATAAAGATAGCATTGTTGTTATAAGATGGAAAAAGATGCAACTTTGAAGTACCTTACATAATAGTACAGTTGACCCTTGAACAATACAAGGGTTAGGAGCACTGACCCCCCACTCCCAACCCACATGTCAAAAATCTGCATATAACTTTTGATTCCCTAAAAACCTAACTACTAATAGCCTGCTGTTGACCAAGAAGCCTTACTAATAACATAAACAGTCAATTAAGACTTATTTTGTATTATATATATATTATATACTATATTCTTATGATAAAGGAAGCTTCAGGAATAAAAGTTAAGACAATCATAAAGAAGCTGTATTTATTAAAAAAAAAAAATCTGTGGGTAAGTGGATCTGTGCAGCTCAAGCCAGTGTTGTTCAAGGGTCAGCTGTGTTCAGAGTTAACAGGGGAATTCAGAGACCCATCCAGAAAGCCTTCTTATATTATTACAGAAACTGTGGCCCAGAGAAATTTGAATGACCTGCCCAACGTCACATAGCATCGAATAACGCCTTTATCGTAGGTTCTTTTTATGTTATACAATCTTTGTTTCCTTATATTACACCATTTTAAAGACCCATACTCCCATTTCCTAGTTAAGGGAACTAGTACCCAGATGGGTGGATTGGCATCCATTTGGCTCCCAACATACAAACAGCAGGTTAAATCTCGGACTCTGGAATGAGGCTGACCTGGGTTCAGTCCTCTTCCAGATATTACTACATGACTTTCGGTAAGTTGAGTTTTCTGAGATACCATTTTTCATCTTCATGTGTAAGATTCAGTAAATATTTACTGAATGTACTGAGCGCCGGGACATGAGTTCAGTGCAGAGTTCATTGGAAAACAAGGAGGAAGATGGGTACTCTCTCTCTAGAGCTTATAGTCCACTGGGGGCTACAAAGGTGTAATGAGAACACAGCGTGAAAACTGCTCCGTATGGGAAGCATGTGGTGCCTGGTGCAGCTGGACCTGGGGGTGGGAGGAAAAGAGAATGGTGTGGGTGTGAGAGAAAGCATGGTGTGTTAGAGGAACTACAAGAAGTTCAGTAAAACAGAAACCTGAGTGAAAGAGTAAATGGCAAGAGGTTAAAATGGGAGGCTCTAAGAGCTGGGCAAAAAGCAGATGATACAGCTTTGGAAGGCCTTGATGGGGAGTTTGGGCTTTATCCTGAGATGTGGTCCAGGAGTGGGGTGAGGGAGGGCTCACTAATGTGACACAAAATCCTGGACTTCAGCCTACCATTAAATGGCAATTTATCCTCACCTCCTTATTTGCTGAAGGAGGATTATCCTAATAGCTTTACATGTTATAATGGTTAAATATAATCTATAGAACAAATCTTTATCTGTTATATATCTCTATGTCACAGAGACATGTCATGTGTGGCCCACAGTAGCTTCCTAATAGGGGCAACTAACTTCTGCCTCTTACCTGCCTGCTTCTCAAGGCTTGGGCCTAAATCGTCAGTCTTTCTAAGAAAAACCTGGCTTATAAAGGATTTGTCTGTAAATGATGGTGGCTAAAAACAATCCCTATCACCATGATGGAACCATTAAGACTGGATTCTTGTGGT